GAACTGGGGAGAATTAGAGGGTGGAGGGCATAGCTGAACCCCAAAGGCTTCCATGGGGTTATAAAAAGCTGATTTAAAATAGGTGTGGATGCAGAGAGCCTCATGCAACCCTGGGAATTGGATGCTGGGCCTGGGAGTGTGTGGGAAGCTGGTGGTGCTGGAGGGGAGCAGGATGCAGCCCATGCTCCAGCCTGTCTCTGTGCTTTAGTCCTGTGCTGGCTGACCCCGGAGCTTTCTCCTGTGCCCTCCTAGGCTCTCAATGAGAAAATCACAGACAAGGAGACAATCTCTGAAACAGAAGCCAAGGGAACCAACCTCAAAAGGTGAGTGTGCTGGTGCCTGCATGGTCTCCAGGGCACAGAGAAGGCCCCTGGGCTTGACATCCCTGACAGTCAGGGAGAGATGCAGCCACAGTCCAGGGTAGTCCTGGAAGCCAAGGGCTCCCCATGTGGAGTAGAACTGGGTGCCCAAGAAGGTCCCATTGTGGTGGGAGCAGCGTGCCTTCAACTGTCCCCCAGCCAGCTGCCCTGTCTCCTTTTGATCCCAATCCTCTCCCCACAGGACCAAGTCGGTTTCCTCCATGTCAGAGTTCGAAAGCTTGCTCGACTGTTCTCCCTACCTCCCTGGAAAGACCGTGCCAGGGCTGGGTGACCATGCCCGGGGCAAAAAGTCATCCTCAGCCACCCAGCTGCTGCCCAATGGGATCCGGGACAGCGCCAGTGTTCCTCCCTCCAACTGTACATATGTGAATATTGAACAACCCGCCCCCGACAGCCTGGCCAAGGAGAAGCTGGGTGTGTCTTCCTGGGACTACTCGCGGGCAAGCAGCCTCTCCGGGCACGACCCAGCCCACAAACAAATACAGAGGAGCTACACGGCGCCCGACAAGACCGGGATCCGCATCTACTACAGCCCGCCGGTGGTGCGGCGGCTGGAGGCGCCTCTGGTGCACAACAAGGAGGGCAAGATCATGATCGAACCCGGGTTCTTGTTCACCATGGCCAAGCCAAAGGAGCCGGAGGAGTCGGCCAGCACCGAGGGCACCTACAGCCAGTGGCTGTGCAACTTCTCCAAGCAGCAGCGGGAGCTGCTGGACGGCGGCGCGGTGGAGGGCGCGGTGCCGCCGGTGCCGCGCTTCCCGCCGGCGCTGCACGACCTGGAGATCTCGGGCAACATGAGCGACGACATGAAGGAGATCACCAACTGCGTGCGGCAGGCCATCCGCTCCAGCTCCCTCGAGAGGAAGGTGAAAAGCACCTCCAGCCAGACGGTGGGGCTGGCCCACGTGGGGACACAGACCATCCAGACGGTGAGCGTCGGCCTCCAGACCGACCTCCCGCGCGGCGCCGGCGTGCACGGCAAGAGCTGGTCCCCGCGCAGCTCCTCCCTCGTGTCTGTGCGCAGCAAGCAGATCTCCTCCTCCCTGGATAAGGTCCACTCCAGGATCGAGCGGCCGTGCTGCTCCCCAAAATACGGCTCTCCGAAGCTCCAGAGGAGGTCTTCCTCCAAGCTGGACGCCTCCAAGGACAGGAGCCTGTGGAACTTGCACCAGGGCAAGCAGAACGGCTCCGCCTGGGCCCGCTCCACCACCACCCGCGACAGCCCTGTCCTCAGCAACATCAACGACGGCTTGTCCAGCTTGTTCAGCGTGGTGGAGCACGCGGGCAGCACCGAGTCCATCTGGAAGCCAGGCTGCCCTGAGAGCAGCCGGGCCAAGCCTGAAGCACCCAAGTATGGCCTCGTGCAGGAGTTCTTCAGGAACGTCTGCGGGCGGGCGCAGAGCCCCACCACCCCCCAGGAGAAGAAGGAGGCCGCTGGGGAGGAGGGCAGCAAGAGAGCTGAGTACCCCAGCACCGTCACCCACCACCCAGCTGAAAACATCTCCCGCGTCCTGAACAAGAAGGTCCTCAAGCAGAGCAGCTGCGAGGACCCCAAGCCCTCGTCCCCCGGGCAGGGCAGTAAGGACACAGCCCTGCGGGACCCCGACCTCATCTCGGCCTTAGCCAGCGAGGTAACGAGGCACGGTGCCCCCCGGGGTGTCCCGCCGTGGCGGGGGTCGGGGTGCCCGGCCCCTCTAACCCCGCTGTGCCCTGTCTATTTTTGCAGGACACGGCGTGTGACTGCAGCTCCCAGTCCCTCACCTCCTGCTTCGCCCGGCCGTCCCGCTCCGCCGTCCGCCACTCCCCCTCCAAGTGCAAACTGCACCCCGCGGACCCCCCCAGGGCGGAGGAGAAGCCGGGGGCCTCGAGTGAGTGAGGACGGGGGGCCGGGGGATGCAGCTATCCAGTGCCTGCTATCCAGAGTCCTGCCAGAAGAGCGCCCGCGCTGACGCCCGCGGGGGCCCCTCTCGGAGGCGGCGCGGGCGCATCTGTCTCCTAAACGTCCCCTCGGCCCCGGCGGGGACGCTTACGAAGCAGATGTGGGGCCGGAGGCTGCCGGTAGCCCTGGGGGGCGCGGGGACATCACGGCCAGGGTGGTCACTTCACCTCCCGCTGCCGGCACTGGGGGGTCCTCACCGGTGCCCACCGCCCCGGGAATGTCAGCTGAGACCCCGCCATGCCGAGGGCTCGCCGGGCCCTGAGAAGGGGAGAGCAGCCGGGGGAGGCTGCTCGTGTGGACAGGGAGGGCTGGGGGGAAGCGTGGCCGTGTGGAAGCGCTGGCTGGAGGTGCGGTGGCCCTGCAGACGGAGGGTGTTGGCTCCGGTGCTGCCCGCCCTGCCCGGCCTCCGGCTCATCCTGCCAGCCCCGATCGCGGTGCTGGCTCTGGTGCTGCCAGCGCTGCCCGGGCTCCAGCTCATCCCGCCGGCCCCGATTGCGGGCGGTTGCATCAGCCGCACGTGCTTCCCCGGGCAGGAAGGAGGAGGGAGGGAGGCTCCCTGCGGTCACCCGGGCTGCGCTGGCTGGGGGGGGCCCTCCCTGGCCATCCTTCTGCTCTGGGGGTGCTGCTGAGGCCCTTTGCTGCTGGGAAAGGTCCTGGTGGTCCCCGGGGCTCCTCCAGCTGCAGGGATGGGGTCGCTGGTTGCATAGTGTGGGGAGAGGCAGTGTGTGCCTCTCTGTGTGTGTGTGTGTGTGTGCACATCCCCTGCGCCCGAGGGGCCACGGCTGTGGTGCCCCTGCCTTGCACCCACCTCCTTGCTTGGGGCCACTTGCAGTTATTTCTCCTCCAAGTGCTGAATATACATATTTCTCTTTTTTTTTTTTTTTCTTCTCTTTTCTTGTTTTGTTGTTTGTTTGTTTTTTTTCCCTCCACTTCTGGCTCTGGCCAACTCCGGACAGCCTGCAATGTAAAACCAAGTGCATTTTAAAAATACCGAAATGAGCTGCATTGGAGAGGCACCAATTGGATTAAGAGATTGTGGGTTGGGAGGCTGCAGCGTGGCCCGTGGTCTGCGCTGCACATCCCTCTGTCACCACCAGAAAAAGCCTTACCCGAGGAGGGAGGGGGCAGCAGCCACAACCCCCATGGCAGTGCAGAGCTCCTGAGGCTGGGGGGCTGCGACCCAGCCCCACACAGAGCAGAGTTGGTGCTTCTGTGCAGCTCCAGGAGAGAGCAGAGATTTCTGAGGCAGCTGCCTGACCTATTTTCGAGCTGCCTGCCAGGGGCCAGGCAGGGATTCACCGAGATGGAGCTGCCTGCAGGTGCCTGTGGATCCTGGGGCTCTGTGCATTGCTCTAGGGCTGTGTACACTGCTCCAAGGGCTCTGTACACTGCTCCAAGGGCTCCATGCACTGCTCCAAGGGCTCTGGGCACTGCTCCAGGTGCTCTGTGTGCTGCTTCAAGGGCTCTGCATTGCTCTGGGGCTCTGTACACTGTTCCAGGAGCTCCATACACTGCTCCAAGGGCTCTGTGCATTGCTCTGGGGCCGTGTACGCTGCTCCAAGGGCTTTGTACGCTGCCCCAGGACCTCTGTACGCTGCTCCAAGGGCTCTGTGCATTGCTCTGGGGGTGTTTACACTGCTCCCAGGGCCTCTGCACATTGTCATCCTGCAGTTCCACTTACAAACTGCTCGTGCTGCCGAGGCTGCTGCCCTCTCCCGTCCAGCCCAGCCGCTCTCTGCCCGCAGCAGCAGCAGCAGCAGGGCTGCATCACTGCCACGTCGCAGCCTCCGTCAGCACCTCCGCGACGGCCACTCACTGCCTGTGTCTCCAGACACAAACCAGCATCAGCCAGGGCTCCTCAGGCCCAGCACCGATGGCCTTTTGCTCCTGGCCCCACAGGGACCCTCGTCACGCGGGTGGGGGACACACAGGGCAGGTGCCACCCACCCTCACCAGCAGCCGGGGCCGGGCGCTGTCCCTGCCTTGCCAGGGAGCAGTCGGGTCTCTGTCCCACAGCACTGCCACGGGCGATCTCCTGCTGTACATAGGTCCTTTCGGGGTGGTTTTTAGCGTTTTCATTGATAAATCGGGGTTTTGGTTTTGTTTGGTTTTGTTTGGTTGGTTTTTTTGTTTTTTTTAAAGACTTCTCTACTTTTGGAATGTGGTTTCTCATTTTTACAACTGCCTTTTAATTATTTGTAATATTGGTCAGTTCTGTCTTACTCTGTAAATAGCAGTGCTGGGCATTTCCCAGGGGGGCTGAGCCGAGGCTGGCAAGGGATTTGTCGGGAAAATTTGAGGTGTGGAGGTGGCTGATTCTACCCCAGCCCCTGCATGGACTCTGCCCTGTCCTCCCCACATGCCAGTGCCCGACCTGGGGTGAAGCCTGAGGTGTTTTGGGCAAAGCCACGCTTGCCCCTGCCCTGTCCTCCTGCCTCCTCTCACCAGCCCATGCCAAGGTCGCATGAAGGGCACCTTGTGCTCCGATGACAGGCTCCCTGCCCACCCTGTCCTGCACCTCTGTATCATGCCTGCTTGTTGTGTGATGAATAAAGGTCCTGCAACCCCTCACCCACACCCCAGTGCTGCCTTCCCATGCTGTGGTGGGGGACCATGCTGCTGCAGAGGGACGTGTGGGGTGATGCATCCTATCCCTCTGTCCCCACCATCCTGCCTGCTGCCCCAGCCCACACACGGTGTCTCAGCCTCTCCTCACCTGCCCCTCTCTCCCTGACACTGTCCCCATGTGCTGACCCCACCTGTGCCACACCACCAGGGCTTCTTGTCACCCACCTGTGGGTGGGTCCTCCATGGCCTCACTGCCAGTGCTCTCACCCCACACCAGGCTCCTCTAAGCTTTGCATTGTTTGTGTGATGCTGCTGTTTCTCATGTCCCATCCCAGCCTGCCCAGCTCACCCCAGCCTGCACACATCCCCCACAGCCCCTTTCCCATCACCGTGGCTTCTTGTCCTTGTGCCCCTCGGTTGGACTCCATGAGCTCAGAGGTCTTTTCCAACCTTCATGATTTTGTGATTCTCTGATCACCTGCAGGTCCCAGCCTCCTCCAAAGCTCACTCCATTAAACTGTCCCTCCCTGAGGTCCTCCAACACCCACCGTGACCCACCTCTCCTTCTTTTGCTCCTCCATCATCTTTCATGTCCTATCCCTTTCGTCCCTGCTCTTTCATACCTGCTCTTTGATCCCCTATGTCCCATCCCTCTTTATTCTGCTCTTTCATCACCCACCTAACCCAGCCCAGCCCTCCTTCCTGTCACCCTCCATCACCCTCTACCCCATTTCACCTTCCTGTGCTCCATCACCTACCATATCCCATCCCTTCTCCTGTGTGCCTCCTTCTATGTCCCACCCTTCCTTCTGCTGCTCCTCCATTGTCCACCTATCCCTCCTTCCTGTGCTGTCACCCACTGTGTCCCATCCCACCCTGCCACCCTCCTCCATCACCCACCAGGTCCCATCTTTCCTTTCTGTGCTCCTCCATCAGCCAGCATGTCCTGTCTCTCCTTCCTGTCCTCCTGCATCCTCCATCATGTCCTATCCCTTTATGTGCTCCACTGTCACCCATGACCTCCTATCCCTCCACATCCCACCCCTCCTTCCTCATGTTCCAGAGTGTGCTATCAGCTGTGTCCCATCCCTCCCTGCCATGCTATGCTCCTCCATTACCCACCGTGTCCCCTCCCACTCTCCCTGCATCCTGGGAAGATACACTACATCTTCTCCCTCCTTGTTCTTCTCCACCACCCACCATCTCTGACCCCTGCTTCCTGTGCTCCTCCACTGCCCTCCATATCCACCTTCCAGTCTTCTTGTCACATTTGCATCCCATCCCTCTCACCTGCTCCTCCTTCATTCACCACACCCTGTTCCTTGTTATCTTCATTCATCTCCACCATCTCCTCATGTCTTCTCTTCCTTCTTCACCTCCACCCTGCTATCCATCCTCATCCTGCTTTGCCTCCAGCTTTCCGTATTCATGTCAACATCTCACCATCTCTTCTTCAGCTCCCACCATGTCCTCTACATCTTACCATCATCCTGTCCCTGCTTATCCTCCATTGGCTCCCACCTCCACCCCAACATGTCCAACTTCCTCCACTCTTCATTTTCTGCACACCTTTCTTCATCCTCTTCTATCTCTTCCTATCTCCTCACTCAACTTCCTCCACTTCCCCATCCCAAAATCCACCCTCACCCCTCACCATTTCTCCATCTCCTCAACTGCGTCACCCAAATTTGCCTTCTGCTCCTCCACCCTCACATTTCCAATCCCACCCTTGTGCTTTTCCATTTCCCACCATCTCCTTATTCATCCTACTCCATTGCCCTCCAGTCTTTATTTTCTTCTATCCCTTAGATGTCTCTTCATCACTCCTGTCACCCTCATCCATATCTCTCTGTCTCCTCCCTGTTCTCCATCTCCTCTCCCTCCTTTTCCTCCACCACCTGCTGTATGTCCAGTCTCTTCATCCTCCCTAAACTCTCTTTTCCTCTTCATTGTCCTTTCCACCATCTCCCATACCTTCTCCCTCATCCTCCATCTCATACTTCTTATTCCTCCACCTCAGTCTCTGAGTCTCTCCTTCCTGTGACCCTCCACCTCCCAATGTTCTTTTTTCCTGCTGTTTCACCTCTTGGCCTGTCCCTCTCATACTTTACCTCTGGCTATCTCACTATTCCTTGTCATTTGCCTCCACAGTCTCCCTGTTTCTCCTCACGCTTCTCCACCTCCCCCTATCTTCCCATCCCTCCTTATCCTCAAAGTGTCCTTCCTACCTCATAGATTTCCCTTCCACCCCCTCCCTGATCTCCAACCATCCTTCTTTGGCTCAGAGCTTCCTCTCTTACTGTCCTTTCATTCTCCTTCATCTCCCACTCCATCCTTACCTCCAATTTTCTCCCAGCCTGGCTTCTCCCATTTGTCCTCTCCTCCATCCTCCCTGCACTCTTTTACTCCCAGCACATCTGACTGCAGCTGAAATTTTCTGCTTCCCTTCCTCCCTCCCCTGCCTTGTATCCCATTCCTTCCTGACCCAGGAAGGCCACCACGAGCTCAGCCACCCCTGATGCAAGCAGGAAGGGCCCTTCCTGATATCAGGAAACACTTCTCCCTAGGGCTAGTGAAGCTGGAACTGGTCACTGGGGAAAGGGGAGGATCTCTGCCTTTGGAAGGTTTCAGTTACTCAGCTAGATAAAAGTCACCACTGTCCTGATTTAGCATTAGCAATAACTATTTTGGAACATGGAGCTTGACTAGATTCCCCTGGGATCCCTTTGTGCACGCACATCTTTGGGAGACTTCCCCAAGCAGTGAAGGATTTCCAAGAGGGGCAAGACATGGCTTTGAATGCATCGCTTGGGATGCTGCAGGACATGAGGAACTGTCCCTGCCACTTGCAGTGGCTCCATGGTGCTCAAGCAGAACCACCACACACTGCTCAAGCAGGACCATCCCAAGGTGCTCAAGCAGGACCATTCCAATACTACTCATGGAGGACCATCCCACACTGCTGAAGCAGGACCATCCCATGCTGCCTGAGCAGCACCATCCCACACTGCTCAAGTTAGCCACCTTGTGCATCTTGAGCAGGATCACACCAGCCTGCTTGAGCAGGAATACCACAGCAGGACCATTCCATGCTGTTCTAGCAGGACCACCCTAATGCTGCTCCAGCAGAACCATCATTCTCATTGAGCAGGACCATCCCACACTGCCTGAGCAGCAGCACACTGTGCTGCTTGAGCAGGACCTATCCAGGCTGCTTGAGCAGGATCATCCAATGTGGTGGAGCAGAACCTTCCCATGTTGCCCAAACAGGACCACCCCATGTCATTTGAGCAGAACCATTCCAGGCTGTTCAAGTAGAACTATCCCAAGGCTGCTTGAGCACCATGGGCCAGGCCAAAGTGGCTTCCTGAAAGACTGCCAGCTCCCAGGCCAGTGAGCTATCCCTGAGATGTTCCCTCAGACCCTAGAGCCAGGGATCCTTGCATCATCTTTTGTTTCCTTCCCTTGGGTTGGTTCATGCAGAGCCATGGCCATCCCTTTCTAATGGCCTTATGGCTGCTCTAGGGCACAGGGCTGCTGGCACTGCTGCCAAGGGAAGGACAGGTCTCCTCTCCATCCCAAGGGAGCCCCATACCCTGAGGGACCTGCACACAGGGCCTCTTCAGAGCATCCCATGTCACTCACGCACAAGGGCCAACCAGCCTCGCTTCTCTGCAGACTTTGCCTTCCAATGTTGGAGGCTCCCTGCCATCCCATGGAGGGGACCCTGCCCTTTCCAAGGGGATGTGTCTGAGGGACTGTCCCACTGCAGTACAGGCAGGGACAGGGCAGCCAGTGTCTTGATGGGGTGGGGGTGACATTCCTGCCCAAATGCCTTCTTGGCTGGGAAATCTGGGGGAGGGAATTTGCTACCTGTGTTAGGAACTAGCTGAACTTACGTGTCTCCCCAAGCTGGATTTCTTACTCCAAATGTTCAAACTGTTGTATATTGTACTGGGATTTTTACATTGAATTATTGTAGAAAACAAAAAATTTAAACCAAGTCTGTTAAAAAATAAACATTAAAAATCTCTATGAAAAAAATAAAGGTGAGCTTGTCTCTAAGTCGTCTCCTTACAAATGTGTCAGAGCAGGGAAGTGTCCCCAGTGGTGGCTTTCCTGCGTGAGACCACACCACCCTCTGGTGTCAGCACCGACCTCAGCTCCGTGCTGGCCCTGCTCCAGACGTGTCCCTGTGCTCCCAGCTCTGCCTGGCTGGGATCCTTGCAGATCCTTGCACCTTGCATCCTTTCACCACCCCAAATCCTGCTCGCTCGAAGCAGGTCCTGTCCTGCTCCCAGTACACAGACATGGTGTGGGGCAGGACATGGCCAGGCCAGAAGGAAGCAAAGCAAGAGCAGAGCAGACCCTCTTTATTGGATGCTGTCCCCATCCCTCACAGTCCCACCAAGCACTGGTGCAGTCCTGCTGCCTCCCAGGCTGTCTGGAATGTGGGATGTGCTCCTGTGTCCACATGTTCCTGTCCCGGGGCTTCATGTCCGAGTGAGGTGGTGGGTGTGGGGCTGGGCAACAGCTTCAGGCATCCCTGTGCAGATAGGTGATGGTTTTCTTGCTGTTGGGTGCTGGAGAACCATCTGATTCAGCTCAGCTTCTGCCTGCTCCAGGCTCTGGGCAGAAGCAGGCGGTGCCAGGGGACAGTGTGGGGACAAATGCCCAGTGCCAATGGCTGGGCTGAGACCCATGAGACCTGGCTGCAGGGAATTCATGCCTGGATCCTGCATCCCTGGCACTTTGCAGCTGACATTGCTGGCAGCTCAGACCCTGCACCACTGCCACCACAGCCCCCACACTGGTGCCACCTCAGACCCCACATCACTGGTGCTGCCCTGCATTGTTGGCATTGCAGACCCCACGTCACTGGCACTGCAGACCCCACTGAGTGCCCTGCATTGCTGGCACTGGGGCTTGGCAACTCATCATCTGAGGGCACAGCCACTGCCACCTGCCCACCCACGGGCCTGTGCCACCTAGGCAGGACACGGCTGCTCCATGGGCCACAGTCACTGAGCTCCCCAGAGCTCCAACCATCCCTCACTGCTCAATAAACCGGGGACAAAGGGAGGCAGCCACATTTCTGGGTGTGCAGGGACACTCTGATGCCTGGGGACAGCTCACTGGGGGAAGCTGGTTATTAAACCCAACCTCCTCTACGTGCTGCTGCCGAAGGCATCACCTCTCCCGAGCCCAGTTTCCCTTCCTCCATCAAATCTCTTACCGACCTGGCCCCCTCTTCAGAATGAAAATAGCAGCAGCTGGCAGAGCCCAAGTAAACAAATGAGCCACTGTGAGAGGAGAGAGCATCTTTATAAGTTAATTAGCCCCATCTAAGAGACAGACAGACATTTTCTTGTGGATAGATCGCTCAAGAAGCTCAGGCAAACAGCACTAACATGTCTCCTGGGTTTGATTTATAAGCCTGATTGCGTTACTAGCTCATCTCCATATAAAATGATTATGAATATATTGTCTGTACTCTGCAGAGGGCTAAATTACCAGGCTCTGATATTTATCAGCTACTCTTTGAATCTTAAGCAGCCTGAAATTCAGAGGTCTCTCTCTCTCTTCCAGTGATAGCAGAGGTAGAAAGGAAACAGCTCAGGCTTGATCCTTGTGTTCAGCACAACCTGGGCCATTTTAACATCCCAATTAACACCCCAATACCCCCAATGCTGGAGCAGGAGGCTGGAGGGAGGGAGGCAACTTGAGCCCAAGGGCTGTGGAGCCTGTGTGTGCTGGAACCCTGAGCCAAGCCTATGGTACTGAGCAGTTACATTTACAAACAAAGGAGCTGATAAATCCCAGCAGGACTGAAGGGCTGTTATCACGGTGCTGATTAAAATTTCCTCTGCAGCCAGCCGACTGAGGAGTGTCATCAGTGGGGAGACAGTGCAACACAGTGCTTAACCCTGTGCTGATTCATTCAGCACAAATGAAGGGCTGCCCAGCCTGGCCAGGTGCTGAAAATTAGCCCTGAAAACCCCAGAAGGAAGATCCACAGCCTGATCACACCCTCCCACTCCATCTGTGCCTCCCACTCCATCTCACCCCTGCTCTGCAGGTCCCAGGAGCTTTTGCTCGTGTCGCTTGTGATTCCTTCCAGACCCTTTGCTCTTTTGTTCTGCTCCTCAATTCTCTGCCTTTGCCTATGGTTAAAAAAAACTTTCCCACTGCAGGATATTCTGATAAAGCCTCTCACTGCCTGTGGCACGTCCATGCAAGGCATAAGCTTGTTTATGTGCTGTGACATGTTCATCAAGGATAAGGTCCATGCTAAAAAGATGCTTTCTCTGATTACCATCACCAAGATGCTGAAACTGCATAGCCAGACCCTGGTCCAGGCTGTCCTGTTCAGGAGATGGTCTGGGATGAGTGGGCAGGCAGTAGGAGAGCAGGTGGTTTGCTGTCCTTCTCCTCCACACAAGGACAGGAGCCTCAGCCACCACACTGACCTCGCTGTTGCTCTCACACCTCTGTGCCTTCCTGGGTTGCATCCTTCCTGCTGTGTTGCCTCCTGCACACCCAGATTTTGGCAAGGAAGAAAAGACATTCAACTGCAAAGCGAGCAGAGGAGCAAAAGAGCCCCAGAACGAGCAGAGGGGCAGAAGAGCCCCTTCCACAGGTTTCACTCAGAGCTGGTCCCAAAAACAGCCAACAGTGACAGGACCCCAGAGCTGACCCCAACCATCTCCTGCACAGAGCCCATCCCAGGCAAACTGAATGCATGTGCTCCCATGGGAGGGGTATGCCACAGCACACCTGGGACGTGTCTCAGCAGGATCCCTGTGGTGGCAGAGATGGTGAGAAGTGTGGAGAGACCCTTGGAGGTGCTTTGGCAGCATGTCCTCAGCAGGGCATGGAGGCTTTAACCACTTGTAACTCTCATGTATTTTTGAGGGGAAGGGAGTTTGGATCAAGTGCTCGGGGGAGGGAGGTCTGCTTGCTTCAAGCTGCCACCTGGCTGATATGCTCAGTGATTTGCATGAACAGGGATGTGATTCCCACACATTTATTGGCAACAAGGCCAGTCAGAAGGCAATGCCCAGCTGGGGCCCCAGGTAAGTCAGCTGCTCTACTGGAGCAGTGCTTTGCCCACATTAACTCAAGTTTCCCATGTGAGGCTGCCTCATGCTCACCCCACTGGGATCAGAAGGTCTGAGATGCACGGACCATTTCACACTTTCCAGTTTCTTTCCCCCATCCCCAGCATTTCCAGGACTGAGGTCTTTCATATCAGGGAAGGTGCAGTGAAGAGTCCCACCACAGCCACTGAGCTGCTGCAGATGCTGCACTGAAAGGCTGTTTCCAGAGTATCCAAGCAAGACTCCACATATCCTGGCCAGTATCTTTTTTTTTGACCCTCTGAGTCTCTACAAGAGACCTTAATATGCGTTAACATGTACCCCTTATGTACTTTTATTTCTTTACAGGAAGAGGAAATAAAGTGCCCAAAATGCAGCTGGTTTTCCTGGGCTGCCTGGTGAGTCAGAACAGCTGGGAGTCAAGCTCAGAGCAAACCCTGCAGCATCCAAGCCCACCACACACCAGCTTCCAGGGCAGGAGCCCATCTGGATGCAAGATGCCCTGGAGAGGAGGGAGCTGGACCAGCAAGGCATGGACATGCAGCAGGAGCCCTTTCTCTAGAGCCCAAAAAATCACAGAGGGAAGCCTGGACATGTGTTCAAGGCCAGGTTGGACAGGGCTTGGAGCAACCTGGTCTAGTGGAAGGTGTTGGAAGAACAAGATGGTCTTTAAGGTCCCTTCCAACCCAAACCATTCTGTAATTCTATGATTCTATGGTGTTTCAGCTGTGGAACACTGAAATGAAAGTGTGTTTGTGCCATGGGGGATCTGACTGATGGTACCAACTCTGCAGTTCGCAGCCCTGTACACTTGGTGCTTGGAGAGCTACTGGAAGAGGAGAGAGCTTGGGAAAATGCCTCTGGGAGGCTATTTGGAATTTTCTGCTTTGCAGGTGCTTTCTGAGAGGAGATGCACCCTCTCCCCATCAGGCAGCTTCCTGGGCCCCAGCTGTGGGCAGCTGCAGCACAACCACAAAATTCCCTGGCTGCAGCAGCCAAACTGGACAATGCTGGCTGAGGGACAGCTGTAGGGCTGGTGGGACATGGTGCTGTCCTGGCCTCATGGCTTGGAATGTGCTGCACACAGAGGCAACAGTTGCTGGAGAGAAATCATGCTGTCACTGAGCCTGGTGAAGAATTTCAGCTGGATAAATCAGTGAAAACCAAAGGCCAACAAGAAGAGAAGCAGAGGGTGCCTCCCAGATCTGCAAACCACCTCTTCACTGGCTCTGGGACAGTCCCATGATGGGGAGAGTGACAAAGCCCTTTCCCAGCTTGACCTTTCCCAGGGTGAACAACAGACCTGGCACGTAGGGGGACAAGGGTTTGTTGGAAAGCTGCTGGGCCCTGCTGGCAAGTGCAAAATCCCTGAGACAGAGGCTGCTAAAACTAAAGGTTGGCAACTCGTAACAGAAAATTTTCAGCTTGAGGTGGCTTCTGAAGGGCTTTAGTGTTGGGTTATTGTTTAAAAGTGTTGTGTTTGTCCTGCTTCTCAGGAGAGGAGCAATGTGATTTCCAGTTGGTTTGTTAAATGATGTGCCATCTGTACCCTGAAACTCATGGGGCTGTGTCCAGACTGTCGATCCAAAGGCGGCGCTGGAGCAGTGCAATTCCCATAGCTCCTGGGGAGCTTCAAAAATACCCATGTCAGAGACCCCAGGGTTTTTCTTAGGAAAACCTCTTTTTTGTAATAGGGAACTTGGAGGTAATGAAAATGCTGGCTGATGGAGGGAAATACCTTGCAGGGTTTGGCTGTGTTTGTACTGTGTCCACTGGGCAAGCCTGGGCTCAGAGACTGGTGATCCCAGGCTGAAACTCCAACAAGGAATATACTAAAATTGGGCATTTGGATACATGTGGACTTGTGTTGGAGATTTCACCTTCAGGTGATTTTTTTTGTTACTAACAATGAAATCAATAATGTGAGGCCACACT